AAAATGTCAGCATCAATTTATACCTCACTTTTAGAAATCAGAATCTAGATCCCTTTTTCAATCACAAACTTTGTGTGCACTGCTCCTGAATGAACAATACCTATTGATTATATACTGTTATGCAAAACAATATTCATCGCCGACTTAAACCAGGAATAGATGTGACAGTTCTACTTTCATCAGGAAACTGCTTGGATTATATTTATATGCACAACAAATTTAATCTGCATCTGTGCAGTCAATATAAAAAAAAGATTCAACACAATTACAATCCCAACATCTTTTTCAATTCTGCAACATTAACAGTAGCATTGCAAGATACTACACTGTATACATTGGAGATAATTTTTTATGTTCAGCTAATGCATTACTGAGAAGACATCAATCAGCAAGGTCTTCAGTCACACAAGGCTGAATATTCTCTATCCCAAGCGTACAACTGCTCATGCCAAAGATATTAGCAGGGCAGCAAATAAATGGGAGTTCAGTAAGTTGTACATGTTTTTCTTACTTTTTAACAAGTATCAGTTCATCATCGCATATCCTTTCTTGAACCACCTCCTCAGCTTGGCCCACTAAAGAGGGATCAAAACTCTCATCTCCTTCCAAGTTTGCAAGTGTTGAACAGATAGTTGCTATAAACAAAAACAGGTAAAAATCATCAGAATAGGTTTCTCAATCCAAGACACCCTTTTCTGATTTACGTACTTTTAACACTTCAACAAAATTACATTTGTATAGCGCTTTTCATGTCGGGAGGACGTCAGAATCACTAGGAAAATTCCAGCTGATTCCGAATGCCACCCTTTTAAAATTGAATGATATTAATATTGGACATTAAACTCGATAGCTTGTCACTCAAAGGGTAAAGAGCTGAGCAATAAGTTATCCGGAGTAGCGAGTTTGATATAGGTCCGCCCAGCTGCTCCATGGCTTTTGGCCCTATCCTGTGACACGATAAGATGTAAGACAGCGTAGGAGGCCACGGCTTAGCCGCTGCAACGCATCTGAGCATAGGCACCCAACCTCCGCTACCAATCACAACATCGGGCTGGAGGCCTTTGTAATGCAAGATGCCATATTACAGAACGAGTTATCAGATCAATTTTCGACTAAGAAGATAACGAATAAGCCATTTTCTGCTCGCTGGATTCAAGCAATCTGAGTCAGTCAGTATCACTAGCCACTATGAATGTCAGCACAGACAGAGGCTACTCAGTGCACCATTGATCCGCGCTAGGAGTTGGGCCCACAGAATAAAGTTAATGTTTTTGGTTTTGGGCCTCGTCCAACCAGGTCGGAATTCCGGATAACTGGAGTCCAATAAGGCAGGGGAGCACTAGTTTCAAAGTATATATAATTCACAACAGTAACCAGTAAAAAAGAAATGCTGCACTTACCTCCACTGGCCTTAGCAATTCGTCTGAGGTCTTTCGTCAGACAACGGTGTACTGCCATGGCACCAGCATCCACAAAATATTTTAGACACATATCATCAATGCCACCAGTAGTCAGAATGACATTGGCACCTGTGGCCAGAATCTTCTGAATTCTCTCTTTGGTGATATCAGACTCTCTGAAAGCAAAACAAGTTCATCACTATCTACAAAGCTATTTTACAAACATAAGATTATAAATACAAAAAAGACACCTCAAAGTGTGCATATTCACAATTATCAGACAACAGGATAGATCAAATTTTCATGTGGTAGAGAGGAAATATTTAGTTAAGAGCAAGCTGCGGCTCTCAGCGCGGACACCAAATATCAGCTTGGCACAGATCACTGGCAGTCACATTCATAGTTAAGGATTACTGACACAACATCATTATATCATTGACGGGATATACAGTCGACAACAAATAATTCTAAATGGAGTGTAATGTGCCACACTAATTAAAACTATTTTAAATCAATTTGAAATACTAAAGGATCATTTAGTGTTAAGCTCACAGGAAGCAATCTCCCACTATCTACTCTATCATGCCCTTTGATGATCTTATAGGTTTCTATAAGATCTCCTCTAATTCTCCTATATTCCAGAGAATATAGGCCCAAATTGGTCAGCCTATCCTCATAACTCATCCCTTTCATCCCTAGTACTAACTTCGTAAATCTACGCTGCACCCCTCCAAGGCAAGTACATCTGTCCTTAAATAAGGAGACCAAAACTGGATGCAGTATTCCAGGTGTGTTCTCACCAGGGCCCTATACAATTGCAACAAGACTTCTCTACTCTTACACTCTAATCCTTTCATAATGAATGCTAACATACCGTTCGCCTTCCTAATTGTTTGCTGCACCCGCAGACTAACTTTCTGTGATTGGTGTACAAGGACACCCAAGTCCCTCTGGACGCTAACGCATTCCTATCTCTCCCCTTCTAAAAAATAACCCGCTCTGTTTTTGCTACCTAGGTGGATGACTTCGCACTGAGTTGAGGAAGAACTTCTTCTCTCAAAGGGTGGTGAATATATGGAACTCACTACCCTAAAGGGCTGTTGACGCTCAGTTCTTCAACATATTCAAGACTGAGATAGATAGATTTCTTATTGCAAAAGGGATTAAGGGATATGGGGATAAGGCAGGGTCGGGTTATTAGCTGGAGTTAGATTAGAAGATCAGCCATGATTGAATGGCGGGGCAGGCTCGAAGGGCCGAATGGCCTACTCCTGCTCCAACATTATACTTCATCTGCCACCTACCTACCCAATCACCTAACCTATCTATGTCTCGCTGCATTTTTTATGTCGTCTTCTGTGTTGACACTTCCTCCTAGTTTTGTGTCGTCCGCGAATTTAGATATATTAACTTCGATATCCTCATCTGGATCGTTGATGTAGATGGTAAATAGCTGAGGCCCAAGGACTGATCCTTGTGGCACTCCACTAGTCACATCCCGCCAATCTGAAAAGGACCCGTTTATCCCTACTCTTTGTTTCCTACCCGTTAACAATTCCCCAATCCACGTTAATATGCTCCCCCCAATTCCATGGGTCCTTATCTTTTGGATTAACCTTTTATGCGGCACCTTATCGAATGCCTTCTGGAAGTCCAAATAGACCACATCCACTGATTTACCCTTATCTAGTTTACTGGAAATATCCTCAAAAAACTCTGAGATTCGTCAAACATGGCTTCCCTTTTGTAAAGCCATGTTGACTTGGCCTAATTATATTGTGCTCCCCTAAATACCGCACTACCACATCCTTTGTTAGGTAATTTTCCGTTTCTACCTTCTTTGTATACTTCTGCAATTGGATGTTAGTTCATTCAAGCAATAAACACAGTCACACAGTTCAATCACTAAGAGTACATTTATTCATCTAACTCAGGACCAGTCAGTTCAGTCTGGTACAGAGTTAGGGTCGTAGCTTCACCAAGCTGACGACCCCTTTGTGGGATTCAACAATGGCATTTATACAAGTATGGGGAGGATCCTTCTCCAATCGTTAGATTTGGTCATAGGTGACAATGTGGTCGAGACATAGGATGTGTATTGGGCAACTATACATTGTCTCATACTCCAAGGCTGCGGTTAGTCTGCGCATATATCTGTTGATGCGGGCTTACTTCCTTCATGGAACCAGTCGTAACTGGTTCCATGCAGTTGAGCTGTACGTTTCCAAAATCAGATAACACAGCCTGCCAAGCTTCTCATTGCAGGGTTTACTAAAGGTTATAACTTTGTGCCTTTTTATCCATCATCCTTAATCAATGATTCTAAAATTTTTGGTATCACTGATGTGAGACTAACTGGCCTATAGTTCCCCATCTTTTCCTTTCCACCTTTTTTTAACAGTGGTGTGACATTTGCGATCTTCCAATCCATGGGGTCTGTTCCAGAATCCAAGGAATTTTGGAAGATCAGACATAAGGCCTCCACTATCTCATAAGCTGCCTCTTTTAAAACCCTGGGATGCAAGCCATCTGGACCAGGGGATTTGTCACTTTTTAGTGCTAACAGTTTCCCTTGCACCAATTCTCTACTAATGAAAATTTCCCTAAGTTGCTCCCTGTCCTTATCCCCTTGGTGCATCTCTATTGTTGGCAGACTTGTTGTGTCTTCTCGGGTGAAGACAGATGCAAAGTAACCCATTTAGGGACTCTGCCATGTCCTTATCCCCCATAACAACTTCTCCCGTCTCTGACTGAAGTGGACCTGTCCTCGGGGAATACCATATCCCTGCTTCCTGAGTCTCTTCCCAATCCTGTGCTTTTATCCCACAATCTACCAGGTTACCCACTTGTTGCCATGACTTTTTGCATCTCTTTGCAATTGATACATGGGGGTTCCCTTCTCCCTGGTATAGCTGATCATCTAACGGTTGGAGTAAAACTTTCCCTCCCGTATCAGTTGCATTCCAATATATACATTGAATCGTTAATCGTGTGGAACTTCCCAATTTGAAATGTCTCTCATATGGCAACGAACTTCCCCCTTTTTCACGGTACCACATGGTACAGTGCAGATCCTCAGGCAGGTGGAAGTCACTTTGTTCCATGACCCGCTGGTGTGCCAATCTAAGCAGTTCCTGTTGGAATTGTCCTGGCCCTTCCTTTAACTGTAGGGCATAGTAGTATTGTGGTTCCCCCCTTTCTTGGATAATTAGGGTATCTTCAATCTTTTTTTTGTACGTAACCTTAACTGCTTCCCATCGGTCGTCACCCATAGGTATCACTCCTAACTTGAGTTTAGTTAACACATCTCTCCCTAGTAAATTAACCGGGCATGTCATTGATATAACCACTTGTGCTTCTACAGTCTCTTTATTCTTGTAACAGAATTCAAGAGGTTCCGTGACGCATTGTGTTTCTAAGTCTCCGGACGCTGACCGAATATCAATTTTTTCCTGACTCTTTTTATAAGGAAAAGTTGCGTCTCTCATCGTAATAACCGTTCTACATGCTCCTGAATCGCATAAAAATGGTATGTCAATTCCATTCACTCTTAATGTCAACCAAGCACTCCCAGGAGACTGTATTAACGCTAATATACGTTCAGTCTCCTCTCTCTCCTCTCATTCTTCTTCGGGCTTTTGGGACTTCCACCGGTTTGGACAATCCCTTGCCCAGTGTCCCATTTTCCCACAAACATAACATTCTCCCCCATTATTGTTCTTTTGCTTTTTCTTTCTATTCTGCCATGGTTGTTTATTAACTTCTTGTGATATAAATCCCTCATTATGCATATTATTCTTCTCTTTGACCGTGCCTTCAGCTCCCCTCTCGACTCTCTTCCTCCTCCTCGCTCCCTCCCTTCCCTCCCCTCACCCTGACCATTTCCCCTCCTCTCTCCCTCCCTTCCCTCCCCTCACCCTGACCATTTCCCCCCTGCTCGGGTCATGACCCAACTGTGCAGTGCCTTGGGACGTCCTCCTGACGTGAAAGGCGCTCTATAAATGGAATCTTGTTGTTGTTGTTGTTGTTGTTATTCCTCTTCTCTTCCCTTGTTATTCGTTCGAAATGGATGGCATGATCTAATACTGGCTGGAGTGGCCCAGTACTCCATGTTATTAGATGTTGTTTTACCAATTTTGAAATATGGGGCACCATTCCCGCCAGAAATGCATTCTTAATTTGTTGTACCCAAACTCCAGTATCATCATGTGGATGTGGTGGTTCGATTCCACTATTGGAATTAAACACCTTGCGCAATCGCGTATAGTATTGCATACACGTTTCGTCTTTTCCCTGAATACAATCCGTTATCGCCGAATAGTTACATCTGGCTCTATAAAATGTAACTATTCTCCCCATTAATTGGTCGAAGGGTCCCCAATAATCATGCTGGGAGCGGTTTGCTGCTGCCGGTGGACGGTCATACATTCTTGGTGCTCCCTCATTGTCTAATGCTGTCCAATCTCCCCCGACCTGACACCATTCCTGACGCAACACCTCTTTTATGCACTGCTCGGTTTCTAAACTATTTAGCCTGTAACTTGCCATGGTTTGATACATAAAATCTCGAAATTCGGTTCCCCCTTGATTGGGATGGGGACAGGCGATCATTGCCCTCTTAACATCCTCCATTCCCCATGCCCTATACACATACTGGGTGTTCCCCTGTCCGTCTGCCACTTGTATCATTGGGAAATTCCCTGCTGTTCCTACATTTACCTGCATAGGTGGGTTTGAAGGGGAGCTCGGGAGTGCGGATTTGTTTTGATAATTATCATGGAGCCATCTGACATATGGGTCAGCATTGTTTGGCGTCCTCGGATTATATGCTCGGTTTAAAGGTGCCGTGGGCTGTTCTGACCCATGCGATGGTGGAGCGCCATGCCCATTTTCCGGGCGTTGAGAGGCTGGAGTCTCCAAATCCTCCTTCCCTGTGTAAGCCAATAGTTTTGTTTTTGTTTCTGTCAATTCACCCAGCCGTCGATATTCCGTGGCTTTCATATGCTATACTTGTGCTTCCCCATAATGATATTTCAATTATTTTTTCTTATCATCTCCACTTTTCTCTTTTATTTTATTCAATAATTCTTGTGTACTCTCAGGTTTTAATCGCCCATCGAATCCAAATTTACGTTTCCACATTGTTTCCCAATCACCACTTCCTTCTACTACCTTATTCATAACCTTCGCATTTCGACTCACTAATTCTCGGGTTTCTTTCTTACAACAACTGCTGCGACAGTCCCCTTTACTGCCTACACACCCCATTCTTGCAGAATTTAAAATGATCTCGTCAGTTACCCTTTCCTAGGTGAGTCAGTCTCGACCTCTACGTACCAGCCTCTAGATCCTCTTCGATCCCTGGTGTCCGATTCCTCCGGACCTGACTATACTCACCCGAAGGCGTAAGATATTGAGCTCCCGGACGAGCCCCCAATGTTAAGTAATTTTCCGTTTCTACCTTCTTTGTATACTTCTGCAATTGGATGTTAGTTCATTCAAGCAATAAACACAGTCACACAGTTCAATCACTTTTATTTATTTTTATTTAGGATGATGGATAATATTTATTTATTTACATTTATTTATTTATTTATTTATTTATTTATTTATTTATTTATTTATTTATTTATTTATTTATTTATTTATTTATTTATTTATTTACATTTATTCATCTAACTCAGGACCAGTCAGTTCAGTCTGGTACAGAGTTAGGGTCGTAGCTTCACCAAGCTGACGACCCCGTTGTGGGATTCAACAATGGCATTTATACAAGTATGGGGAGGATCCTTCTCCTCCAATCGTTAGATTTGGTCATAGGTGACAATGTGGTCGAGACATAGGATGTGTATTGGGCAACTATACATTGTCTCATACTCCAAGGCTGCGGTTAGTCTGCGCATATATCTGTTGATGCGGGCTTACTTCCTTCATGGAACCAGTCGTAACTGGTTCCATGCAGTTGAGCTGTACGTTTCCAAAATCAGATAACACAGCCTGCCAAGCTTCTCATTGCAGGGTTTACTAAAGGTTATAACTTTGTGCCTTTTTATCCATCATCCTTAATCAATGATTCTAAAATTTTTGGTATCACTGATGTGAGACTAACTGGCCTATAGTTCCCCATCTTTTCCTTTCCACCTTTTTTTAACAGTGGTGTGACATTTGCGATCTTCCAATCCATGGGGTCTGTTCCAGAATCCAAGGAATTTTGGAAGATCAGACATAAGGCCTCCACTATCTCATAAGCTGCCTCTTTTAAAACCCTGGGATGCAAGCCATCTGGACCAGGGGATTTGTCACTTTTTAGTGCTAACAGTTTCCCTTGCACCAATTCTCTACTAATGAAAATTTCCCTAAGTTGCTCCCTGTCCTTATCCCCTTGGTGCATCTCTATTGTTGGCAGACTTGTTGTGTCTTCTCGGGTGAAGACAGATGCAAAGTAACCCATTTAGGGACTCTGCCATGTCCTTATCCCCCATAACAACTTCTCCCGTCTCTGACTGAAGTGGATCTACATTTACCCTCACTAGCCTATTCCTCTTGATATATTTGTAAAAACTTTTACAATCAGACTTAATGTTCCTAGCTAACTTACCCTCATACTCCTTTTTCACGCTCTTAATGAGTTTTTTAGTTTTATTTTACTGGTTTCTAAAACTCTCTCAATCTTCAGATTTGCTGCTTTTCTTGGCAGTTTTATAAGCCTTTTCTTTTAATTTGATGCTTTCTCTAACTGCTCTAGTTAGCCACGGATGAATTGCTTTCCCTGTGGTACTCTTATTCCGCAAGGGAATATGCGACCGCTGAGAATTTTGCACTACATCCTTAAATATTTGCCACTGTTAGTCTACATTTTTACCTTTTAATCTCATTCTCCAGTCTATTTTACCTAAATCTTGCCTCATACCTACAAAATTAGCCCTATTTAAATTCAGGATACTTGCCTTGGATTTAACTATCTCTCTCTCTAACTTAATGCAGAATTCAATCATATTGTGATCACTCTGCCCAAGAGGATTCTTAATACCTACACTGCCAACTAGCCCTGTTTCGTTATGCACAACAAGGTCTAGGATGGCCTGTCCCCTCGTTGGTTCCTCGGCATGCTGCTCCAGAAAGTTATCTCTCATACATATAATGAACTCTTCTTCTGACCTACTTTTGCCGATTTGGTTTTCCCAATCTGTGGAGATTGAAATTGCCCACTATTATCGCTTTACCTTTCCTACATGCTCCACTGATTTCTTGATTGATACCCTGTGCTATATTGTGATCGCTGTTTGGGGGTCTATAAACCACTCCCATTCATATTTTCTGCCCTTTAATATTTTTTATTTCCTCCCATATTGTCTGGACCTCCTGATCATCGGATTTCAGATCCTTCCTCTCCACTGCTTTTATTTCATCCCTAATAAACAGGGCTACCCCCCACCTCTTTTCCCACAGTGCCTATCTTTCCTGTAAACTGAGAACCCTGGAATATTTAACTCCCACCCTAGATCTCCTTGTAATCATGTTTCAGTGATGGTTACTAGATCGTACCCATATGTGCCTATCTGTGCTTTTAATTCATCAGTTTTATTCCGAATGCTTCGCGCATTCAGATATAACATTTTCAATTTCCTACCATTTGCTCTACTCTCTGATCCCTTATCTACTTTGCCAAGCTTACCAGAGTCCAGTAGCTCAGTGGTCGGAGTCCTGTAGCTCAGTGGTTAGAGCACTCGCTTTGCAAGTGAGAGACCTGAGTTCAATTCCAGGCAGGGCGAAACCTTGGGCAAGTTTCCTTACTCCACATGCCTAATAATAATCCCTCCAAAACCAAAAACAATAATAAATTGGTCATTTTCAATCTATGACTGTTTGTGGGACATTGCTGTGCGCAATTGGCTGCCGTATTTGCCCACAAATATACAGTCAATTCACTTTACAGTGTGTTCTGCGAAACGCTTTGGGACGTCCTCCCGACGTGAAAAGCGCTATATCAAATGCAAGGATTATTATTATTATAAGCTTCTTACCCCTAGTTAACATATTCCTATTATCTGGCATGCTATCATTTTTACTTTACACTGTCATCTTTTTCTAGTGCTAATTTATGGTTTCTCTTCCCTATATATTCCCCCCCTTTACCAGTTCAAATTCCTATTTATTTCCGTTTATTCGCCCTTTTCTCTGAAAGAGCTCTCTTTTCCCCCAATAATATTCGTGCCAATGGCCCATAAAAAGAAACCCCTGAGTTCCGCACCACTCTTTTAGCCATGTGTTCAAGTCCTTAATTTGTTTGTTCCTGTACCAATTGTATGGTACAGGCAGTAGTTCCGATATTACCACCTTCAGCGCCTTGGGAAGTCCTCCCAACGTGAAAGGCGCTCTATAAATGGAATCTTCTTGTTGTTGTTCAATGATCTCAACTTCAATTTGGACCCCAGCTTTGCGAATTCCCTTCTCAAGTCATCTTGGTCTACTCTACCGATGTCATTGGTACCTATGTGAAGTACCACCAACAGATCCTTGCCCTCATCTTTTAAATTGTCCTCTCGCCCTGCCGAGACATCCTTCACCCCGGCCCCAGGGAGGCAGCAAAGCCTTCTGGTCTTCTGGTTGGCGTTGCAGATGATTGTCTCTGTCTGCTTCATAGTCTCATCCCCAATGACGACAACCATCCGCTCTTTTGCCCCAGTGTTAGAGGTAGTTTTTCCTTCCACCTCACCGGCTTCCTTGTCGATACAAGTTCCAAGGATCTCATACCTGTTGTTCAAGGTTAATGCCGGATTTACTACCACTCTTTCCGTTGTCCCCCCGACCTTCTGACTGTCTATTGACCTATCCTGACCATAATCAATGTTGAGTGTATATTCCCTCAGGGGAGTGATTGGTTGCAGGATGTAGCTATCCAGGAAGCACTCACTGTCTCTGATACTCCATAGTGTCTGCACCTCGGATTCCAGCTCAGCCACTCTGAGCTGGAGCTGCCTCAGTTGCAGACATCTTCTGCAGATGTGGTCACCCGGGGTCAGACTGCCCTTCATCAGCTCCCACATGTCACACTCCTCACATAACACCTGCCACGTCATCGTCACCTCTTCTAACTTGAGTTAGTTAATTAATTAGGTTTGGTTAATTAGGTTTTAACTCAATCAAGTTGATCTAATTAAGTTGATCAGGTTAAGTCCGTGGTGTGTGATGTGTTGATAGTTGTTAGTTTACTGTTGATACTGATGTCGGTCTGACGTCACTTTTTAGTTTTCTTGCTGTTTTATCCTCACCCCTCCCCTCACCCCTCCCCTCACCTCACCCCTCGCCTCACCCCTCCCCTCACCCCTCCCCTCACCCCTCCCCTCTCGCCTCACCCTCCCCTCACCTCACCCCTCGCCTCACCCCTCGCCTCACCCCTCCCCTCACCCCTCCCCTCACCCCTCGCCCCGCCCCACACCACTTGCCCAGCGCCCCTCGCCCCTCCCTTCACCCCGCCCCTCGCCCTCCCTTCACCCCGCCCTCGCCCCGCCCTTCACCCCGCCCCTCGCCCTCCCTTCACCCCGCCCCTCGCCCCTCCCTTCACCCGCCCTCGCCCCTCCCTTCACCCGCCCCTCGCCCTCCCTTCACCCCGCCCCTCGCCCCTCCCTTCACCCCGCCCTCGCCCCTCCCTTCACCCCGCCCCTCGCCCCGCCCTTCGCTCTTGTGCCACTGACTGACTTTAACCATTTCGGATTTCTTGTTTAAAAATGCTACAACTCGAGCCCAGAGTGTGTTTGCTTTCGCTTTGGAAAATGCAGAAGCTGGCTGATATTTTAACTCGTCCACTTCGCTCATTTACATGTATTGCCGGAGCGAGTGCAGCCAGTCGGGGAGCGGCGGCAGGACAGCGCGGGGAGGAGCCTGGGCCTACTGACCCAGGTACTTAAACTCGACGCCGGAGCGAGTTCAGCCCCGGGGGGGGGGGTGAGGGGAGTGGGCGGAGCGGGGGAACTGCGACGTCATAGATTAGTTTTCAGGTGAGTGCGCGCGCAAAAAAAAAAACCCTCTGCGCCCCCCCCCCCCCCCCCAGGGCTCACATCAGAGCCCACTATGGTCCTGTTGCGTTTGCTGCCCCAATCTGCGGGATAATGCCATCCACCTGACCGCTCGCTCCCGGTCCCCGCGTGCGCACTATGGCTGCCGCTTTGACCCGAGCCCCCTCACCCCCTCCCTCCCGCCCCCCTCCTCTCTCCCCCCAAACCCTCCCCCCTCTGCATCTCTCCCGCTCTCTCCTCCTCTCTCTCCGTCCCTCTCGTCTTCTATCCCCACTTGACCCTCCCACAACCTCCCTCTGTTCCAGTCTGGGAATCCTCCGCCGGGCTCACCGTGGCACTCGGCGTTGGCTGTCCAGCAGCAGCCACACCGACTGCCCCATTCCCCACCACACTCGCCAGCCACCCCGGACACAGACCCGGGGAGTCAACCTCTCCTCCCTCATCCCCATTCCCCCCACCCCTGCCTCACAACCTGGACCCCCCTCCCCTCCCACACACCCTTCTGTCAACCGCTCCCTCCACATCGGACTGCAAAATGTCCGCTCCCTCTGCAACAAGGCCCTGGTCATCAACGATCTCATCCTTGATGAGAACGTTGATATCATGGCCTTGACAGAAACCTGGCTCACCCCAGGCGACACCTTCCCCCTCACGGAGGCCACGCCACCCGGCTACACCTCCCACCACATCCCCCGCCCCAACCGCCGTGGCGGTGGTGTTGCCCTTATCTCAAGGACACCACTTGCCCTATCCCCTTACTCCACTGGCTCTTTCCCCTCCTTTGAGCACCTCACCCTCTCCCACCCCTCATTCCTCTCCCTTAAAATCCTCCTCCTCTACCGGCCCCCTAAAACCTCTCCCACCTTCATCTCTGACATTTCAACACTCCTCACATCTCTTTGCCTCTGCTCCGATCGCCTCATCATCCTGGGCGACTTTAACCTACACTTCACCCCCTCCTGCTCCATCTCCACAGACTTCTCTTCCCTGCTCTCCTCACTCAACCTCTCCTTACACATAAACTCCCCCACTCACAGTCACGGCCACCCACTCGATTTGGTGATCACCCGGGGCCTCAGTGTCTCGGATGTCACTATTACCGACAAGGCCATCTCCGACCACTACTTCATCTCCTTCACCACCTCCACCCCCCTCCCCACCTCCACCAGACCCACCACCATCTTCTACCGCCCTTGGAAGAAGTTACCCCCACAATCCCTAACCGATGCCTTGGAGTCCTCTGAACTCCTCTCCCTCTGGCCTTCAACCCTCACCGACCCCTCTTCTCCTCTCTCCCTCCTCCACAATACCCTCTCCTCCACACTCGATACTCTTGCCCCCATCACTTCCCGCACTGTCTCCTACTCCCGCTCCTCCCCCTGGTACACCACCCACCTCCGCTCACTGAAAAGCCAGGTGCGGGCTGCTGAACGCACCTGTGTCAAATCTGGCCTAACGGTCCACCGACAAATCTGGCTGGACCTCCTCAAAATTTACCGCTCCACTCTAGCCTCGGCCAAGTCGTCCTTCTACTCCAGGATAATCCTGGAGGCGAAGAACAACCCCAGGCTACTGTTTTCCACCACAACCCGACTCCTCCGTCCCCCCGCCACCCCGCGCAGGTCATCTCCTCCAACCTTCACTGCGAGGAGATGCTGGATTTCCTTGAATCCAAGATCAAGGGAATCCGCTCCGCGGTCACTTCCCCTCCAACTTCCACCCACCACCCACCCCTTCCCTCCCACACTCCGACTCCTACCCATCCTCCCCTACACACCTTCGTACCCGTTTCCCCACCCTCTGTCACTGAACTCATCCTATCCCTAAAACCAACCACCTGCTCCCTTGACCCCATCCCCACTCCACTCCTTATCTCCCAGCTCCACTTTCTTGCCCCACATATCACTGACATCATCAACCTGTCCCTCTCCTCTGGCTCTGTCCCCATTCCATTAAAAACTGCCATCATCACGCCCACCCTGAAAAAACCCTCCCTTGATGCGTCGCAGCTATCAAGCTACCGGCCCATCTCCAACCTCCCCTTTCTCTCCAAGGTCTTGGAAAGAGTTGTCGCCTCCCAACTGCGCTCTTTCCTTTCCACCCATTTTCTTTTCGAACCCTTCAGTCGGGTTTCCGTGCTGCCCATAGCACAGAAACTGCCCTGGTCAAGGTCACCAATGATATCCTGACCATCTGTGACCAGGGCTCCCTCTGTCTCCTCGTCCTCCTCGACCTATCAGCAGCATTCGATACGGTCGACCACGCTATCCTACTCCACCGCTTGTCCTCCCACCTCAACCTTCAAGGCACTGTCCTTGAATGGTTTAGGTCGTACCTTTCTCACCGTCTTCACTTTGTCTCAACGAATGGCTTCTCCTCCACCCCCCGTACTGTCTCATGTGGTGTCCCTCAGGGCTCTGTCCTCGGTCCCCTCCTCTTCACCCTCTATATGCTCCCCCTCGGTGACATCATCCGCAGACATGGAGTTAACTTCCACATGTATGCGGATGACACCCAACTCTACCTTTCCTCCTCTACTCTCAACTCCACGACCACCGATGTCCTGACAGCTGTCTGTCCGACATCGAGTCCTGGACGAGAGACAACTTTCTTCAGCTCAACGTGCGAAAAACCGAGGCCCTCCTGATTGGCTCACGTCAGCGCCTCCGCACCTCAGGCGCTGACACCATCAGCATCCAAGGCTGCACTCTCCACCTCTCAAAGCCAGTCAGGAACCTCGGCGTTTTGTTCGACCCTGAGCTGTCCTTTCTCCCTCACATCCGCACTACAACTGGCACCGCCTTCCATCACCTCCGGAACATCGCCAGACTACGGCACTACCTCACCCCTCACGCTGCTGAAACCCTGGTCCACGCCTTTGTCACCTCAAGGCTGGACTATGGGAACTCTCTCCTCGCCGGCCTTCCCGCCACCTCCCTCCACAAGCTGCAGGTCATTCAGAACTCTGCAGCTCGTGTACTGTCCCGCACCAGGCTTCGGGACCACATCACTCCCACCCTCGCTCGCCTCCACTGGCTCCCCATCCCCCAGAGGATTGATTTCAAGATCCTCATCCTCACCTACAAGGCCATTCACGGCCTTGCTCCCTCCTACCTCTCCAACCTACTATCCCCCTACCTACCTGCCCGTACCCTCCGTTCCTCTGGCTCTGGTCTGCTCCACGTCCCCCGCCCCAACCGCCCTACCATCGGTGGTCGGGCCTTCAGCCTCTCAGCCCCCAGGCTCTGGAACTCCATCCCCCAGTGCCTTCGCCGCTTCCTCCCTTTCCTCCTTCAAGGCCGGTCTCAAAACCTTTCTCTTTGACCGTGCCTTCAGCTCCCCTCTCGACTCTCTTCCCCCTCCTCGCTCCCTCCCTTCCCTCCCCTCACCCTGACCATTTCCCCCCTCCTTGCTCCCTCCCTTCCCTCACCCTGACCATTTCCCCCCTGCTCGGGTCATGACCCAACTGTGCAGCGCCTTGGGACGTCCTCCTGACGTGAAAGGCGCTTTATAAATGGAATCTTGTTGTTGTTGTTGTTTGCACCAAATTTTCTCTGCATATTAATCGGGTTTAAAAAGTACTACTGAGGAAAACAGCAGCATAAGTAATGCCTTGCAGTGGAAAAAGTGCCTCAACACGCAGTGCTTGTGCAGCCAGGAACTCCCTTGTTCGCGTGAGCCGGTGAGGAGTCAGCTCCGGGGAGATTTCCGGTCACAGCCAAACTCTCAGTCGGGAGCAGAGACAGGCGAGCGGAGGGAGGAGCCGAGGCCAAGCCGTGTACAAGAGTGAGGGAGGAGCCACTCGGTCGGGAGCGGTGATGGGAGAGCGGGGGGGAGGTGACCTCACACTTAATAAAAAATAAATAAGGAAAAACCCAACAACAACAATTATTGTGATTATTTTGGCTTGAGAATGTACAAGCCATCCGTCCCCAATTCAATGCCCACAGGTGATCATAAATCACAAATTAGCAATAGGATGGGCAATGCAAATATAACTGAGGACTGTGAATAACCAAGCCAGCAACAACAGCCTGCTATAAAGATCCCTACCTACTGATAAC